GTAGAGCGCTTGCCTTGCATGCTCAAGGCCCTGGGTTCGATTCCTCAGCACAACATAAGCAAAAAGAAAAAAGCCTGAAGTGGCGCTGTGGCTCAAGTGGTAGAGTGCTAGCCTTGAGCTGAAGAGCTGAGGGACAGCACCCAGGCCCAGAGTTCAGGCCCCACAACCGAACCCAAAAAAAAAATTTAAAAAAAATGACTGGTGCTCTACCACTTGAGCCACAGCACTGCTTCTGGTTTTTTCTTTTCTTTATATATATATTTTTTTCTTGTAAAGATACTATACAGAGGTTACCGTTACATGAGTAAGATAATGAGTACATTTCTTATGGAGCATTGTTACACCCTCCTTTGTTTTTCTCCTATCCTCCCTTCTCTACCTCCCCAACTCCTTCCTTCCTCCTCCCCCACAAAGTTATAAAGTTCATTTTCAGCATAGTGTCTTGTACATCTCATTGTTACAATGGGCCAACCTGTATCCTTATTTCAGCATTTTGTTATTTCCCTTCCCCTCCCCAAATTAGAAAAATGTATGTACAAGGTGCAGGGCACTGGAATCAAATACAGTGAAAACAGGGGTTATACCATGTGACAAGAAACAAAAGAAACAAAAGAAATCATATAGTACATTATAAGCACATTAAAAACAACAGCAAGAAAGAAAACCTCTTGTGTTCCTCTCTTGGGATTCATTTTGCTTAGCATCATCTTATATGGTCATAATGTACATAACTTTTGACCTTTTCTGCTTGTGTTAGACATATACTAGTTATTGCAAATAAGGGAAACCATGGGACCTATGTTTCTTTGGGCCCAGCTTACTTCACTTAATATAATTTTTTCCAAGTCTTTCCATTTCCTAATAAATGGGTTGATGTCATTATTTCTGATGGAGGCATAAAGTTCTATTATGTGTGTGTATATATATATACCACTAGCACTCTACCACTTGAGCCATGGCACTGCTTCCGGCTTTTTCTGTTTATGTGGTACTGAGGAATTGAACCCAGGGCTTCATGCATGCTAGGCAAGCACTCTCCCACTAAGCCACATTCCCAGCCCCAGCTTTTTTTTTTAATTTTTAAAAATTTTATTTAAAGATGATGCACAGAGGGGTTACAGTTAGAAAAGTCTGATAATGAGTATATTTCCTTTTGAACAGAGCGTACTATTTTAACTTTTAGTTGTTCAGTATCTTTGAGTCACAGTAATGTGACAAATACTATAATAACAACTAGGTTATTTTAAAGACATAGAAGTAGAAAAGACTACCTATACCCAGAAGGGTTGCAGACATCTGTGTTAACAAGGTGAATTTTTGTTTGTTTGGTTGGTTTTTTTTTTTGTTTTTTTTTTGGGGGGGGGCGGGAGTTGTCGGTCATGGGGTCTGAACTCTAGGCCTGGGCGCTGTCCTTGTGCTCTTCAGCTCAAGGCAAGCGCTCTACCGCTTGAGCCACAGCACCTCTTCTGGTTTTCTAGCGGTTTATTGGAGATAAGAGTCTCACAAACTTTCCTGCCCGGGCTGGCTTTGAACCGAGATCCTCAGATCTCTGCCTCCTGAGTAGCTAGGATTATAGGCGTGAGCCACCAGCGCCCGGCTAAGGTGAATTTTTTATATCTGACCATTCATTGGCTACTTTGAGCAACCTTACCTATTCATGCTCCAGTGGAGGAAGGGAAGGACGGAGATTAAGAGGATACAGCACAAAGGTGAAGGATCAAGAAAGTCTCCAAAAAATACATCTGGGAAAGACTTTAAAGGGAACAATATGAGGAAGTTTTCATCCACATATATTTACATTTTAATCTTAATTCTAATTTTCTACGCATTTTTTTCATTTATTACTATATCAGAAATAAGCATATCATACAACATTAGTACATTCTTTTCAATGTGCCAGGGCCTATACTGCTCCAGACACCCAGATGCTTTGTCCCATTTTCTCTGGCAGTTTTGCATCTGGTAAAAGAATTAGGTATATAGTAGCTGCCTATCATTGGGAATTTTCTACAGACTCTATGCTGACTTTTCTAGGTAGACTATCTTACTAAATTCTCAAGACAGCCTCTGAGCAATAATTAGCCTTATTTTACATATGATTATGAGGCCATGGAAAAAATTGTAATTTGTACAAAATCACATAATTAGAGACTACCAGACTTGATTTTCGTTCTGTCTGACTCTGAAACATGTGAGGTCATGCATTATTAATGATGAATGTATTTTTGAGAAATGCACTACTAGGTGATATCATAATTGTATGAATATTATGCAGTTGTACCAACCTTAGTTATATTGTGTGTGTGATCCTTTTGGTCTTTGGACATGAGATGAAATCAAGCACAAGTGAAAATAATAGTTCTGATGTAGAGATATAAGTAAACATAGGATGTATGTGGATATTTTAAGCAGGACACAATACTGTTTTACAGTAAACTTTTTCAAAAATAGAAAAATGCACAGTGTGGGGGAGTGTAGTTGTGGAGGTGGGAGGGAAGGGATGGTAAGAAAAAAACAAAGGAGGAAGCAACAATGCTTGATAAGAAATGTACTCATTACCTTGTTCATGCAACTGTAACCCCTCTGTACAGTATTTTCACAATTAAAAACTTATTTAAAGAATTTCATAAAGAAAATGTATTACCTGAAGGCAAAAAAAAGAAAAGTGCACAGTAAAGTAATGATAAAATATATGGAATAGCATGGGACTGTTTTATTTGTTCTGGTAGATAACTAAAATTCAGTTGATAAATAATAAAATTTCATTTGTTTTGACAAATAACTAGGGCTTATAAGGTCAAGGAAATGCTCTGGTCAGGGGAAAAGCACAGTCTAGAACCAATGATTTAAAACATGACAACTTCCACTAGCAGGATTAAATTCTTTTGTTTCACATAACTAATGTTAGATTCTTTTAACAATGTCTTCCTTCTTTATCAATGTAAAATCAATTAATAAGAAATATTGTTTGTAAAAACTATATCATTCTTCTTAATCATTTATTCTTTATAATTTTATATTCTTTTATAATTTTATAATGAGCCATTGACAAAATGCTTGTAACAGTAGCAAGTAGCAAACATATGGTTTTTTTTACTTTGACTATTAAGAAAGAGTATAGAGCATTGTGGTAGCTAGAATGTGCCTATAAATTTACAAGTAAACACACTGGATGGTTAAATATATATACTAGGACATGATAAATTATGAAGGTCTCTAGGCATTTACACACACAGTGAGACCAAAGGAGGATATTCTTAGGAGATGATCATCACAGAGATAATACCTATGTGCATCTGATCATATAAAAAATTTATGGAAATGAACTCCAGGAAATGGAAACAAGAGGTTTCTTTTTCTTTGTTGGTGTTTTTGTTTTCTTTTCCTTTTGTCTTGTTTGTTCATTATCTGTCTTTGGGAGGGTAAGAACAGGTACAGAAATGATGGAACAAAGGGTAAACAAATGCAACAGTGGTACTCACTAGACAATGTTGAAAATGAACTATACAGCTTGTGAGTAGGGATGGGAGGGAAAACCTGGGGCAGAGTGACAGAAAGGATAACATTGTCCAAAAAGAAATATACTTTTTATCTGTAACACTTCCATACATCACTTTTTTAATAATAAAAATGCAAAATATAGAAACTAATAAATTATCACCCAGTTATCCAGTACTTTGAGGATATCTTTCTGTTGCTAATAGTTATTCAATCACATCAGCCTTTTTAGAATAGTATTTGGAAATACTCAACAACTTTAAATATTTTCATATCATTTACTTTTTAATTCTGCTTCTGGAAGTCTGTCCTAAAGAAGATTTTCCTATATATTTGTCATATATATTGGTTGGCAAAAATTGAAAACTTGAATTCTGATTATAATGGAGTAAAAATACTAATTTCTATTTATGAAAACCATAATAGCATATAAAAAACAGGGTTACAAACTTGCCTCTATAGAATGATTATAAACACAAAGGGGTGTTCATAGGGCAGAATCTGTACGGAGGAAGGAAAAACATTGCTGATTATCACTGATGGTTGTATTTACTGATACAGTGGGAGTGGAGATGATTAAAGGGGCAGTTGTCTATTCTTAAGGATTTTCCATAATTATTTTGATGATTCCATATTACTTCAAAGAAAAAGTAAAGAAAATATCAAATAGCTGGTTGGTAGATTGGCTGCCCTGGTGATGGATCTACTACTGCCACTGCCACCAAGGTTTTTTGTTTGTTTGTTTGTTCTCAGGAAGTCATTAATGAAAAATACTGAGAACTAGTCTTTGTTGCACACAAAAAAAAATCCATCCACCCTGACAGGCTTTAATTACTTAATTCCTGGATTGATTTTCCTCAGTTACTTACATTTATTCTATTTTAGGAGAAATGAACATTTTTGAAATGGTATGCAGTTATCTTAGTTTATTGTTCTTTGTCCTTCCTAATTTAAAACTACTTTCCTACTATCCAAAAACCTTTAAATCAGTTGTATAACAAGAGTAAACAATATAATAGTGGCTGTACTCATACAAAATATAACTCAGCCAAAGATGAATATCATTTGGAAAGAGTTTAATGTATTACCTGAAAGACTATTTGTAAAGAATATTTACCAAAGCAATTATTTGAGGAGGCAATAAAAATACTGTATCAAACTAAAATAAGAAATTCTGATAGTCAAAAGTATAGTTTAGGAGGTAATGCTGTGGCTCAAAGTAGTAGAGCACTAGCCTGAGCACAGAAACTCAGAGATAGCCCCCAAGCCTTGAGTTCAAGCCCCATGACCCCTCCCAAAAGAAGTATATTTTAATGAAGGAAATGTACATATGATGGTTTTTCCCAAGTATTTCTTGGCATTTTATTTTCTTTCAGTGACCTACTTTACGAACATTGTTATGTTACTTTAGATTCATTTAAAAATTTTCCTTTAAACAGCATATTTACATAATAACACTCATTATGTAACTACTTTGCAATGTGTCTTTGTTTTTCCTACAGATGTCTAAACAAGAACAGAAAGAACTGGATGCATTTGATGGTGGCATAGCTGAAACCTGGTCTCGGTATAGTGGTGCCCAGGACAGTGGAATTGGCAGTGACAGCGTTAAAATCAGAATAGTGCAGATAGAGCCACACAGTGGTGCCAGTCAGCACCGCATTGCTCGTCCCTCACGCCAGTCGTCAATTGTAAAAAATCTAAATTTTATTCCCTTTGACATATTTATTACTGCAAGTAGAATCTCACTAATGACATATTCCTGTAAAGCCTTACCCAAATTGAAATCACAAGAACAGAAAGAAGGTGAAAAAACAGGCAAGAGTTCATTGAATTTCCCAGAAGTTGATTCAGATGCTGCTAAGCCTGATCAGGCATGTATTTCCACTGTGACAGCAGAAGATCTCTTAAGCAGTAACACTCCTTTCCCTTCTGGGAAGAAAATAGGGGTTCTTTCTCTTGAAAGTCTCCGTGCATCTACAAGGTCATCTGCTAGACAAGCTCTTGGCATAACAATTGTTCGGCAGCCTGGTCGACGAGGAAATGGTGACTTGGAGCTAGAACCGTTTCTGTACTTTATTGTGTCCCAGCCTTCCTTGCTTCTGAGTTGTCACCACAGAAAACAGCGAGTGGAAATATCCATTTTTGATGCTGTGCTTAAAGGGGTAGCTTCTGATTATAAATGTACAGGTAAGAGCCTTCAAATTTATTGGAGTGCGAATAACTGCTTTGTTATACATTTTGATTCCCTAGATTCAAGATTGATTGTACAGAAGATACCTGGCAGACTGTACAAGTGTTCTTTTCTCTACAGATTATGTAAAGTACATGTCCCACTGATGAATCATGTTAAAGTAAAGTTTGAAAGTTTACCCTTAATATTCTTCCTGTACTTCTAAATATTCTTTCCTTCCCCCCACCTGGGAGCTGACTGAAACAAAGACTCTTTCTTAGCTATAGAGATGCTCAATAATTTCCAGTGTTTAGGAAGCATAGCTTTTTAAATATATGTTAATGGCCCATAGATATACTACTATGTTAATGAAAACAAAGAAAAAGTTAGAATATAAGGTTTACTGTTTTGATTTCCTTTTTTAATATAGAGGTGTTAAAAAAGCTGAATGATTTAAAGGTTTTTTAAAGATTTTTTTATGTATCTACCAAAAAAAACTATTACATTGGCAACTAAACTCTTACAGCCCATCTATATCTTTCTTATAACCAGAGACATCCTATATTATAATAATTTTATGCAACATATTCAGTGAGCAAATGTTCAGCTGTAAGATATATGAGTTGTAACAAGGTTAGTGGAAATAGGATCAAGCAAAATATGAGAGACCTTTTCAATAATGTAGAATTAGAGATATAGTCTAAGTCTAGAGAGAATAATTGGGTCAACTATTTATACCAATTATACCATTCAGTGGTTGAAAAGGAATATAGTAAGCATAGTTCAGGTATAGTTCAGACACTTTCTTGCTATCAATCTAGCAGATGAAAACCAGTAGTAAACATTTGCTTGGAGAATGGTCTTATCTGGGAATGAGACAAATTCATTCTTAGGATTTGGAACTATTTTATACTGTTCTGGACAGTAGACAGAAAATATGGATGTTAAAATTTAGCATAGGGAAGTAGAATCAAAGGGGCTATGGGCTCTATTATTTAGGGCATGTCTCCTGCCTGTGGTTAACCTAGAGACACACCCTAGACTCTTTACTAGTACTCTCTTCAGGGCTCATCATGGATATTGACAAATGCTATCAATCATCTCTCCTGTCCTAAGAGTCATTTGTTAAACATTCTGGCATCCACTGCGTCCTTTCTTCAAACATGTTCTCAGAAATAGAGAATGGTGCTGTGATAGTAGAACATATCATATGATTTAAGGTCTCACCTCCACATCCAATACCTGTTTAGGTCATCTTAACATTGACTGAAACTAGTTGTAAGATTATGGAATCCTAATCCTCAGCCCTTCCTTACATTCAGTCAGCTACACTCTCTTTATAGGCCGGTGGCTTCAATGGCCTTGCTATGAAATAATAGGAATAAAGGGAAAGTAGGAGGAAGGAAATGGGCTGTTATGTACAACTATGATCTCTTCTCAAGCTTTCATTTGTTGGTATGCAGAGATCAAAGAAGACATTTTGCTAAGAATGCTCTCTCTATATTCTCAGCTTTTAAAACTAGTTATTGTGCCCAGCACCAGGGGCTATTCAGGAGGTTGAGATCTGAGGATTGTAGTTCAAAACCAGCCCAGAAGGAAAATCTGTAACTTCAAAACCAGCCCAGCAGGAAAGTCTATAGTGCTTATCTCCAATTAACCACCAAAAAAATCTAGAATTGTAACTATGTCTCAAGTAGTAAGAGCACTAACTATTCTTGAGCACAAAAGCCACATTCTCAGACACAGGATATTTGTCAGTTATGAATATGAGTATGTCAATTATGAATTATGAATAATTCTAAGGTACTGAGCATTGTACCTAGTAAGTAGGAAGATCATGCATGTTTGCTACTACTGCTTTAGGGTTATTGTATGGTATAAAATTACCAAATAGGAAGCAGATGTCTTTTATTGATTATCTCGCTAATTGATAAGGCTAAAAAGTTCTTTGGATTTATCTCCTTATCTGGAAAACATGATTATTATACAAGATATCACCAAGGGGAAAAAAAGAAAGAAAGGTATCACCAAGGACCATTCTAATTCTGAACTTTTACTATTCTCTAATTTGGAATTTATCTCTTTCCAAAAAATATTTAAACTATACTCCTTTGGCTTCAGGGAGCTGAAATCTGTAAGCCACTAATATGAGATTAAAAATCACCGTTGGGGGCTGGGATGGTAGCTCGGTGGTAGAGTACTTGCTTTGCATGCATGAGGCCCTGGGTTCGATTCCTCAGCACCACATAAGCAAAAAGAAAAAAGCCGGAAGTGGCGCTGTGGCTCAAGTGGTAGAGCACTAGCCTTGAGCTGAAGAGCTGAGGGACAACACCCAGGCCCAGAGTTCAGGCCCCATGACTGGACCCCAAAAAAAAAAATCACCCTTGACTTGTTTTAAAGATACACATCTTTCTCATTCTAAGAGAGAACTGATTAGTTTCTTCAATATTTGAATGAATACATTTCATTAAAATTTAATGAAGTGTTTTTCAAAAACTCACTTGAGAAATGTGTTGTTTTTTTTTTATAATTGATCCTCTTGGATGAACTATCCAAGTCCCAATACCAATTTTGTTATCCAGAAAGACTATGTAGAGTTTATTGATCCCCAAGAAATTCCTGTCTCATTTCCAATAGTCTTTGACAGACCTGAAATGGTAATCTTACTGATAGGGAAAGAAAAAGAGAAAAATATGTGTAGCTATGGTGAGAACATTCATTGGAAGGAAGGAGAGGCAGCAGTGAGATGGAAGTGGCTAAACTAAAGCAGTCATTGTTGCCCTTTAATTGAAGCGGTAAAGTGTGATATCACTAAGAAACTAACCTTCTAATAAAAGGCCAACAAAAATAGGCAAAAGCATCGTAAATAAAAAATGAAAGAAGAAACATGTTGCATCTATATTTCTATGTGCTTCTAACCTAAATTATCCGCTTGTGCCTATAATTGCCATTTTTGATGTATTAGTCCCCCAAACTTTGCTATTTGAGTGCTATGGGATTTGTTTGGTTGTGATCACAAATATTTGGTTGTAAAAGAATTCTCATACAATGTAGCTTATAAATGTTTATGAATATGAATGAGCTGTAAGCTCATGTTCCTCTATATGAAAATCAAGTGGGACATGAAGCAAACCAAGAAGTCTGTATCATCCTTTAAAAGGCTTCTTATGTTTAGACAATAAATTCCAAATGTAGAAACCTTAATTATACAAAAAAATGATTATATACTGTTGGTGCCAGTGTCTTACACCTATAATTATAGCTATACAGGATACTGAGATCTGGGGACCACAGTTTGAAGCTAGCCTAGGCAGCAATGACTGTGAGACTCTTATCTCAAATTAGCCATCAAACATCTGGAAGTGGTAACACTGCTAGCCTTGAGCAAAAAAAGCTCTGGAACAGTACCTAAGCCCTAAGTTCAAGCCCCAAGACTGGCACCCAAAGAAAAAAGAAAAGAATGTGTGTCAGATTTTATTTAACTCATCAATTAATGTCTAATTGATTTTACTGAGTAATTTGTAAGAGTGTAAAGAATTAATACACAAGAAACTTAGTTATCTCAAAGAATTTTAATTCTAGAATTCAGACATTTAGGACATTTAGTGATAAGAGCCATTTAATCATTGACATTATTCATTGCTAAATTTTTAGATAATTCTAAAAAGATAGAAATGTTTGGCATAAAATTAAATTTCTTTCTAGCAAGGCAATTTTGAGAAACCACTGTGAGAAATATTGTATGACTTAAAGAAAACTGCTTGATTACAGAGGACTGCACTCTAATAAATTTTTATTAGTAGTACTCTCAATGTAGCTACAACTCAGTATTTTCTATATTCTATTTATTTATTTTTGGGCTTAGTTTTGTAATATATTCCAATGGTTGTCCTGGAGTTTCCAGAAGATACATAAAATCTTTCTATTTAGAGGTAATATTATCATTTTAAGGACAATATAAGAACATTGCATTCCTTTCAGCCTTTTTTCATTTTTGCTGGTACTTCAGTTTGAAAGCACTTTGCACTTGCTAAACAGTTGATCTACCTTTTGAGCCTCTCCCTGAGCCCTTTTTGCTTTTACAAATAGTCTTACTTTTCCCCCCTGGCTGGCATGGACCACAGTCCTCCTATTTATACTTACCACATAGTTAGGAAGACAAGCACACACCCAGCTATTGGTTGAACTGGAGTCTTACGAATTTTTGTCCAGGCTGGTTTTGAACTATAGATAAGATTACATGTATGAGGTACTGGTGCCCAGCTGGCCTTATATGATTTTATAGGATCCTTTACTGTCCCCCATCTATATTTTGTCATATATGTTGGACCTATATACAATGCTAAATAAAGATTTGATCATTTCAATCATCATATATATTTTTAAAAACAAGATCAAAAGAATAATCCTTTGGATTTTAAAGTGCTTATCATGTTCAGTGTTCCATAAATTCCTTTAGTTCCAAATTTCCCCCTGGTTTACTTTTCTTCAGCATTAAGAACTTGCTTTTGGCCAGGTGGCAATGTCTCATGTCTATAATCCTAGCTATTCAGAAGGCTGAGATCTGAGAATCACTGAAGCAAAACCAGGCAAGAAAGTCCATGAGACCATTAGTCTCCAATTAACCCAAAAAGCCAGCAATGGAGCCATGACTCAGGTGGTAGAATTCTAGATTTGAGCATAAAACTCACTGACAGCACCCATGCCCTGAGTTCAAGCCCCAGGACCAGCTGCACACAAAAAATGAACTTGTCTTTTGCATTTGACTTTTTTTCAGAGTAGGGTCGCTAGAAGTAATTTTTTTCTTAGGTTTTCCTGATCTGAGACCATTTTATCCCTCTCATTCTTGAAAAATACTTTTGCTGAACATACAGTTTTGGCTTGACAAATCCTATCCAGGATTTTTTTTGCAGGGGGAGGGAGGGATGGTGCTGGAGTTAGAACTTAGTCACTTGGACTTGCTAGGCAAGTTGTGTTTCATATAGAGACTCCCACTTTTTCCCAGCCTCCCACATAG